CTTTGAAAGAGATGTTCAGTCATGGCTTATTACTATTCTTCAAAGGCAAGAACCTCCAAGTCAGGTGCATGAAACTTGTCCTCATTGCTAAGTTGCATCTCTGTTACATATCGAAGCAAAAGTGAGAGTGATGGCACCTAAATCTCAATTGGAACTATGGCCTCTATCCCATAAACAAGAGAGAATGGAGTTGTTGGATGTCTTGAAGGATGTCCAAAAGGCCCACAATGCCATAACCAAGTGCTCGTGCCAATGCCTCGGGTGATCTGCCACAAGCTTTGAGATGATGGTCTTCAATATCTTGTTGTTGGACTCTGTCTGGCCATTGCACTCAGGATAGTATCTGCTGCTCTTTATGTGCTTCATCTGCAGTTGCTGGAGAAGATGTTGCATCACCTGTTTAAGGAAGTTGCTACCACGATTGGAAATTAGAACTACAAGAACTCTAAATTTGGCAAACAATGTACTCATAAACAAACTTTGCTATAGACTGTTGATCTGCTTATCACAAAGCGCTGGCCTCAACCCATTTTGTGAAGTAGCCTATTGCCATGGTGATATATCGTTGTCCTTTTGAGCTTAGTGGGTTGATTGGGCTGACGAAGTCAAGTCCGAGAAGTGACGAGCTGGAAAGGAAGATATGAAACATGGCTTCAAGGGTTGAACTATTGGCATTGCTCACATACCTTTATATAGTCCAAGCTGTCCTGATGAATTTGAGGCCAAAAGTAGCCATGGCACAAGAGGAGCTGTGCTGTGACCTATCCTGAGAAATGCCTCGCACAAGAGTGGAAAGCACGAAAGAGCTTAAGGACCTCATGTTCACCCACACACCACAACAAACTATCCTATGAAGTCCTCCTGTAAAGATGTCTGTTGAGAAGGCAAAATCACAACATTTGCATAAAGTGTTGGATTTGTTATGCAAGCATAAGGTTTATGCTAAGAGGAGTAAATGTGAGTTTATGCAATTTGAATGCAAGTATTTAGGCTGTATTGTCTTTGCTAATGGAGTCAAGATTGATCCATAAAAGGTTGCTATTGTAAAAGATTGGCCAACTTCAACAAATATTGTTAAGTTGAGGAGTTTCTTGGGAATGGTTGGTTATTGCTACAAGTTTATCAAACACTATATTGATATTACTCTTCCCTTGACTCAGTTTTTTCATCAGAACATTTATTTTGAATGGGAAACATTGCAAGTACAAAGCTTTCAAGCTTTAAAGGATGCTTTGGCACATACTTTGGTTCTACATATTGCAGATCCAAGCAAACCATATATAGTTCATGCAAGACAATCATCTTATTGCATATGAGAGCAGGACATTAAACCCAGCAGAGCAGCGATACTCTACATATGAGCAGGAGCTTTTGGCAATTGTTAATGCACTACATGTATGGCAACATTATTTATTTGGTGCTGTGTTTACAGTGTTCATGGACTATAAGCCTTTAGTGTTCTAATTCACCCAGAAAGGGCTTAACTTTCACTAGGCATGATAGATGATCAAACATATAGAGTTTAGTAAATTACCAATTGAGCACAAGGTTGTATGTGCAAATGATGTTTTGTCTCATGTGCACTCTACTTTTATGGGAGAATTCTAGGAAAGGATTTGTCATGCTTTGACAAAGTGTTGTGACCGAATTTTCTGGTATATTCAAACAAGTTCAACAGCAAAATACTAAGTTACAAAAGCTTAGTGT